AGTCCATCCTAAAGGAAATCAGTCCTGAATATTCATTGGAAGGACTGATGCTGAAGCTGCAATTCCAATACTTTCACCACCTAATGTGAAGAGCTGACTCATTTGAAAAGACCCTGATGCTGGGAAAGATTTAAGGCAGGAGGAGAAGGGGATGACAGAGGGTGATATGGTTGGATGGCATCACCGACTCAATGGACATGCATTTGAGTGAACTCGGGGAGTTGGTGATGGACAGGGAGGCCTGGTGTGCTGCAGTCCATGGGTCACAAAGAGTTGGATACGACTGAACGAATGAACTGAACTGAGAGAAATTTTAAAAAATACTGTAAAGCAATATCACTCATTAATTTTTTTGGAAAATAGAGTTATTTTTCATAAGATATGTAACTTATTAACATATAATGGATTATTATGACTTTGAATAAACATTTTTTAAAGTTATTGGCCTTATAGGCTAATAAAATAAATGTTGTTTAGTTGCTAAGTGTTGTCTAACTCTTTGCAACCCCATGGGCTGTAACCCACCAGGCCCCTCACTCCATGGGATTTCCCAGGCAAGAATACTGGAGTGGGTTGCCATTTCCTTCTCCAAGGGATCTTCTTGACCCAGGGATCAAACCCATGTCTCCTGTATTGACAGGCAGATTTTTTACCTCTGAGCCACAGGGCAGCCCAATATAGTAAATACAGGTAGCTCTTATGACAATAAGCTGCCTACATATGAACCTGCAAGTTGTGAACCTTCAACGATGTGAATGTGCGTTCCATCAACACCAGACATGAGCGAGTGGCAGCTTGCCCTCCATCTCCTGTGGCTGTTTCTCCTTCAGTTCCAGCATCTCCCACCTTCTCTCCCTTCCCCAGCAGCCCCCGTATGCCAGTGCTGTACTGTCCTGTGAGTTTCAAAGTACTGTCCTGTAAGACTTAAGATGTTTTCTCTATTTTTCTGTTTGTTTTTTATGTATTATTTGTGTGAAAAGTATTACAAACCTATTACAGCAGAGTGCTATATAGCCAATTGTATAAGTTGGCTATGTAGGCTAACTTTGCTGGACTTATGAACAAACTGGACTTATGAACGTGCTCTCAAAATGGAAGTCATTCGTATGTAGGGAACTTTCTGTAATTAATCTACATAACCAAAAGTTCTTTGGGGTCCTCCATAATTTTTAAGACTGAAAGGTGTCCTGGGACTAAACTACTTGACAGCAGATGCTCTAGAAACAAATGTACCCACATACATAGGAAATGTATAAGAATGTTCATAGCAGCAATATCTATAATAGCTGAGAGGCTAGAACACAGAAATGTTCATTTACAGTAGAGTGGGTAAACAATCATGATGTTTTTCACAATAAAAAATAATACTTGGAAATGGCCCAAACCCCAAACAAAACAAAACAGAAAAACAAACAACCCACTAAGAGCAGCAAAGTCTCCCCGCTCCTGCTCCCAGGTCCATGATGAGCTGCTCAGAGTACCGTTGTTCCTAGAGATTGTCCACACATACATACAAGCAGGTGTGTATTATGTGTCCTTTGTTACACTGATGGTCACATGCTCTTTGACACTGCTCTTTACTTTTTCATCTCTCAACAATGGATCTTTGGCAAATATTCCATCCTTGCTGTGTCCTTTGCTTAGTCAGTCAGTCATGTCTGACTCTTTGTGGCCACATGAACTGTAGCCCACCAGGCTCCTCTGCCCATGGGGATTCTCCAGGCCAGGATACTGGAATGGGTTGCCATTCCCTCCTCCAGGGGATCTTCCCAACCCAGGGATCGAGCCCAGGTCTCCCTCATTGCAGGCAGATTCTTTACCATCTGAGCAAGCAGGGAGGCCCAAGAAAGTGTTAGCCATGTCCAACTCTCTGCACCCCCACGGACTATAGCCTGCCAGGCTCCTCTGTCCATGTAATTGTCTAGGCAAGAATACTGGAGTGGGTATTCCCATCTCCAGGGGATCTTCCCAACACAGGGACTGAACCCAGATCTCCTGCACTGCTAGAAGATTCTTCACCATCTGAGCCACCAGACACCATGTCCTTCACTCCATTCTTACAGACGCTCTTATTCTAACCGTTGTACAGTCTTCTATGTACGGATGTATTACAATATTTAGTCGAATCCCTGTGGATTGTAAGGTAGTTTGCTTCCAGCCTTTGGTCATAAAACACAGAAAAATATCCCAGATATCTCTGTGTGTACACCTTTGTGTATACACGTGTGTATATATACCTGTAGGATAAACTATTAGGTGTGAAAAGTCGGGGTCCAGAGTGTACATTTCAAGTGTTGGTTCTATTGCCAAGTTGCTCTCCGAAGTGGCTGTGCCAATTTCACCCCCTACCAGCCGTTTGTGAGACTACTCCTTTCCCTACACACCCGCACAGCCCCACAATGTTTAATCTCTGCTTATCCTGGAGGCGAAATGCAATTGTACATTTAGTTTGTGCTTCTTTTATTAGGTGCCAGGGAAGAAGACATAATATTTCCAGTTCTGCTTCAGAGTTAACTCCTTGATAAACACCAGGTAGACTGATGAATGGGCTCTCAGAGAGAGGGGCAGGCTCTGAAATTCGGAGTGTAATCCGCCTTCGAAGGGAAGAGCGTGTGCCCTGAACTTCTTGGACAGCATGCATCGGCCTGCGTTCCCCAAGTGGCCACTAGAGGGCATCGGCGCCCACCACGACACACCGGGAGGGCACACCCGGGGTCTTGTAGCAGCCTTGGTGTGAACCTCCACCCTCTAACCCACCCAGGGCTTTGGATGGTGGACTGCCCCCGACCCTCGCTGGGTGGCTGACCCTGTCAGACTCATCCCGCCCTCCCAGGCTTCCCTGGGACTCAGGGCTGCTGGGATGTGCCAGCCTTAGGCTAGGGGCATGGGTGGAATGGGCACGTCTCCGCCAAGCCCATCTGCTCTGTTCCGGGCCCCTCTGGAGCTGGCTGAGCTGGTGCTCTGGGAATCCCACAGAGGGACTCGTGGGTAGGGGTCCCTGCCTGGACAGTCCATCCACGGGCCTTCTACCTTTGTGCTGGCCAGAGGGTCCTTGTTCACAAAAGCCTGGACAAACTCCTCAGGTCCAATGTGCCGCAGCTGTTCCTGCAGCGGAGAGAGAAGAGGGGTCAGGAAAAGGAGAAAGGGATGTCCGCTGGCCGCCTGGCATGGGCCCAATGCCCTTCTCACCGGGGGTCCATAGCCCTGTCCCAGGTTGTCAGAGCTCAGCACCATCCCGAAGGTGTCAGCCCCTCCCTTCCTATGCCCAGGGGCTGCTGCATTTCACAGGGGCAGGGGCAGCGTCTCCATAGGGAGTGCTCGTGGGGTGAGATACCTAGGAAGCCAGGCTCAAAACTGGGTCATCGCAATGATCCGCTCCCTCTAGGGTAGGCCTGGGGGCTCAGAGCATGGGGTCTGGCTCAGAAACGAATCCTGGCTCTGCTCCTTCTGCTGTGTGACTTGTGGCAAATCACTTAAACTAAAGCTCTGGGCTCTAGCTTCCTCATTTGTGAAAGGAGAATAATAATAATACCCACCTGGCCGGGTGGTGGGAAGATGAAATGAGAGTGAATATAAGTCTTGACCATAAAGGCTGTTTGCGCTTCTCTGGAAAGCTTGGGTGGGTTGCAGTGGCTGTGTGAGTCCTGGATGGGGAAAACTGAGACCTGGGCGGGGAAAGTGCTAGCTGTGGGGCTGATTACACACCTGATGGTGTCAGAGCCAGGATATGAACCTCATTCCTCTGTCTGAGGCCTGGACTCAGACAGGCCAGAGGTCAAAGTCAGGCAAGGTTGGTACCTGCAGCCCTTCTATTCCTCGCCCCAGGCATGGGGAGAGACTGCTCCAGAGTCAGGGCCCTTTGCAGATGCTGGGGTGGCCCTGAAGGGGTGGGTTCAGACCCCGGGTTAGGCTGAGATGAGATGCGGGACCAGATGGCGGAGGGGTGGCTGGCTACGCTCAGCATTCCAGGCTCTGGGTCTGGGTGGAGGGTGGCGTGGGCCTGCTCACCAGCTCCACGTGGGTCAGCTGCTGAGCCAGCATGTAGGGGTCGCTGCAGATGCCAAGGAGCTCCCTGTGGATGGAGGCTGGAGGCTTGGTCCTGTAGGAGACGGGCTTGTCGGTGCCCAGCAGGTTTTCCGGTCCCTGGCCCAGAGCTGCCAGCTTCTGGTGCAGCGCCTGCAGAAGCTGATGCATCCTCTTTCTGTATGCCTGGAGTGGGGTGGAGACGGTGCTCAGGCTGGGAAACCCACCTTCGCATTGCATAGCAATGTCTGAGACAGGAAGGCTTCCCAGCTGACATGGATGGGCTACTCCTAGGTGTACCTGTACCTGCTCCCACCCTGTAGCAGGACCCAACTCAGGACAGGCTGGGGTTGGGGCTCACAGTCAAGGTTGGCTGGGGCAAAGGCCGCCGGATCGCTGGTGGGAGCTGAGTCGAGCACAACTCAGGGAGGATGACTGGGGTGCAAAGCAGCCCGAGTTGTCTAGGTGGGCTGGGCACTGCCAGGGAGTGGAGGAAGGGAGGTGTGGGACGGGCCCTTCCCTGGATGCTAGCCTTTTGCTTGGCTTTAGTAGGTGTCCCTTCCTGTCTCCCAGGCCTAGCTTAGAGAGGCCTTCCTTTCCCAGCCTTCTGTCCATCCTCTGCCCCGTGCACTCTTCTCCAGCTCACCCCACGTGACTTCCTTGTGGGACCACTGTAGGAGATGAGTGTGGTTGTTTACTTCCCTGCAGTGATAGCTTGGCAGCAGCAGGGAATCGGAATTGACCTGTGATAGAGCTCTGGGCATGCAGCGGGCACCTGATAACCATTTACTGTAGCAACAGGGCCCCTCACCATGCAGTTCAAATGCCCTGGGCTTGATGCAGGAATCACCCTCCCACCCCACAGCGAAACCGATTATTGCCCCTCAGAGACCACTATTTCCAAGGAAGGCACCTCAGGCTAGCTGGGTTTACGGAGCAAGATGTCCTCACCTTCCCAAAGGCTGTCAATAACCCACAGATCAGGCCCCCCAATTTGTCAGCAAATGGCTCCCCCAGAGGTAGATTCAACCCCTCGAGCCAGGAGCTGGCTTGGGAGCATCAGTGGGCATCTGGGGTCTGGACTCCTGGCAGCAAAAAGGTGTCAGGCAGGCAGGTGGGGTTTCCAGTGGGGCCTGGTCCCAGATGCCTCAGGAGAAGGTTGTGAATAGTCAGCACTGCTAGGTAATTTCCAATAGGAAAAATGCATGTTCTTCATACGCACCATCCCAGAGGCATTTTGCAGGTGGGCAGCAGGGTGTAGGGCTTGCCTGGGGACCTTGGCATTCCCTTAAGTCTCTGACGGGGCTCAGAGGAGCACTGAGGCCCACCCTTGTTGGAGATGGTGTCCCCACAATTTATGAAAGTGCTTCTCTGTGGCGTGGCCAGGACAGCTTTGGTTGAGCCCTCAGGACACACGGAGCCTGATCCTGAACCCAAACCCTAATGCTGACCCTGACTCCCAGAGTCATGAGGGACAGACCAAGAAGGCATCCAGTGTGTGGGTGAGCTGAGGTCTGACTTCCCTTTGTTGCCAGTGGAAGGAACACCCCACTCTCAACTTGAAAATGAAAGTTGCTCAGTTGTGTCCAACTCTTTGTGACCCCATGGACTGTACAGACCATGGGATACTGCAGGCCATAGTACTGGAGTGGGTAGCTGTTCCCTCCTCTAGGGGATCTTCGCAACCGAGGGATCGAAGCCAGGTCTCCTGCATTGCAGGAAGATTCTTTACCAGCTGAGCCACGAGGGAAGCCCAAGAATACTGGGGTGGGTAGCCTATCCCTTCTCCAGTGGATCTTCCCGACCCAGGAATCGAACCGGGGTCTCCTGCATTGCAGGCGGATTCTTTCCCAACTGAGCTGTCAGGGCTGTATCCCAAAGTATGCTTACCGCACATGCTGCCTCCCAGGTTTTCATCTGAGTGTCAGGAAGACAGCGAGTCACGTCCAGCCAGAGTCAGCCCCAGAACACACATTGGTCACCAGCGAGCCCCTACACCTCCACCACCCCCCCCCCATCTCTCCNCCCGCCAGCCTCTGTCCACTCCACCCTGCCGCAAGAGCGTTCTGTTCCAAACACACATCTAACCACTGCACCCTCCTCCCCTAAAGTTTTGCAAAGACGAAAGCCCGACGTGGCTCGGGGTCCTGAGGTCGGCTCTGGCCACGCTGAGTGGCCTCCGTGTGGCCTTGCTCCTCCTGTCTGTGCTCCAGACACAGGCCACCCCCACCCCAACCCACCGTCTCTCCTGCCCCACAGCCAAGGCAGGACCTGTACAGCCTGCTTCCTCTAAGCTGCGTTCCCTTCCTTCATAGCCCCTGCCCAAGCCTCTCACTGGAGAACCAGCTCCATGAAGGCCATGCTGGGTCTCTCTTTGCTGGTGCCCAGAATGAACAGGAGGGACCCACACACATTACCGGATTGGACAAACCGGCCTCCACCTGCTTCTCGTCAGTCAGCCTCTCCAAGGCAGACTTCAGAGCCTACTGAAGTCAAGGATGAAGTACCTCTGTGGCTATAGTTTGAAAGCGCCGCGCACTGCCCCTGTTTTTAAAAATATGCAAACAATTTAGCAGGACTTGTTTCTATAGAACCCATATTCACTCCAAATTGCCACTTACTGTGTGCTAATTCATTAAAAAATTTTCTAGTGGTGTTAACCTCAAGCTTATCTGTTGGTTTTTTTTTTTTTTTTTGGTGAATCTTCCAAATGTGGGGAGGGCATCTGACCCTGTCTCATTTGCTCAGTGATCTCTACCCCTTGTGGACGCAGGCTGTGTGATCTTGGTGAACGCAGGCAGGCCCGGGGAACTACCCCTGAGAAAGCCCAGGCGTTCCGTGTCGCTGCTGGTGCCCACATCTGGAGCGCGGGGCCGCCCTGCCGCCTCAGCTCCCCCAGGGGCGGAGGGCAGGGGCCGGACTGTTTTCTCTGTCGTTCTCGGAGCCGGCATCAGCGTGGAGGTTGCCGTGGCAGGGTGGCCTGGGTGAGGGGCAGCGCTCCCCAGGTGCTTTCAAGTTCTCCTGGACGCAGTGTTCTGTGATTAGGGTCGGTTTCCATCCAGACAAGTAAAGACCCTTGTTTTCTAAAGTTCCTGAAATTCCCTCCTGAGCGAGCCCGTGGCCGATGTCCAGCAGCACAGGCAGGGGCTCTGCACCCATCGCCAGCTTGTTGTCTAAGTCTGCGGCCGCCACCCGCGCCCCTGGGGAGCCAGCAGACAGCCGTGTGAGTCGGGGAGCAAGGCTGGTGGCCGAGAGGGCTGCCCGGCCAGTCTCCTCCGATGGGCCCAGTGCGTGGGGCCAGGGGACTGCTGGCTCCCGCCCTGTCTCTCTCACCAGGTCTCCGACCCTCTAGGCCTCGCTGGGGGTCCCCGGTCTCTTCCAGCGTTGGCATCGCCAAAAGGTGAAACGGCTGAGCCCAGCCTCTAGAGGGGGCACGGGAGCCACCGTCTAAGGCCGGGTCTCCCGCCCGGCAGAGCGGGGCCCGAAGCCGGAGCAGCTCAGACTCCACAGGCACGAAGAGGGCCTCCTCAGAGCCCCCCAGCCCCGCGTCCCCGGCTACCGAGAGGTGGTGGGGGCACAGGGAGACCGTGAGGCTTCCAGGAGGTGGCAGGGCTCAGGCAGAAAGAGAACGGCGTCACCGTTCACAGGCGCTTTGACGGGGAAGCCCCGCTCCCCACCGGCCCGTCCTTCCTCCTTCAGATCCCCGAAAAGCGCTGTTTTCCTCAGCGTCCTGCGAGGGAGGGATGGTCATCTTCCCTCTCACAGAGAACACTTTCAGGCCAGAGAGGTTAGGGAACTAGCCTCGAGACACACACAGCTCTGAAAACACCTGTGTTCTTCCCACTGTTCTGTGCGCTATACTTCATGTCGTTTGATCCTGTCATCTCTGTACCAGAAATCTTTTACAAGATGATTCCGAAATGTTTTTGGAGCAAAATATATAATATCTATGATTTAAAAAAAAAAAACACATTTGGACGGAGGAGGAAGTGTGTGAAAGAAGAGAAGAAACAAGCTTGGCCAAATGTTGATAACTGATGAATCTAGGCGGTGAGCACACAGGAGTTCACGGTTACTACTATCTATATTTGTATATGTGTGAAAAGTTCCATAACAAAGCTTCATAGAAGTTAAGAATAATCCCCATGTGCCTGGATTTTGGAAAGAATTTGTTCCTCATCATAGCTTACTGAAATACAAGCGCAGGTGACTGCAGGGACTCTGCCTCAGGCTTGTGTGGTGGGAACAGTTATCAGCTCCATTTGACTGATGAGGAAACTGACATTTGGAGAGGGGACGCACCTCGCCCAAAGTCACAGCGCTGTGGTCTCAGAAGGTCTGACCCTGACCTCACGTTCTGAGTCCTGTGGGTCCTGACTTACCAGAGCTCACCAGTTCCTTTCTCAGCTGAGCCTGAGCCTGTGCTGGGGAGGGAGCAGCCTACAGGCTGCCTGAAGCACCAGGAAAGGGAAGAAACGTCTACTGCACATCCCCCTGAAGTAAGTGCTTTCCGGAGAAGGGCAGTGTGGGACTCACAAAGACAGATGGGGCATCCCTGGCCTCTGCCTGGCTGGGTAGCATGGGGACTAGGGAATCTCAGTTCCGGGTTACATCACTTAGCAAAACTAACTGGATTCCACGGGAAGGGATGAGAACTTCCCTAAACAAGTTATTCAGCTCTGAAAATCCACACCTGGTGGATGACTGCTTTCAATAGCCCATTCACAGGTCTTGGCTGTGTCTTATTTTCATCCACTTGGTGGTTCGAAAAGATTTCCCAGCATGGTCCCGACAGATCCTTGAGGGCGTAGTGAGGAGGCACTGATTCTCAAAGAAACAAGCCCAGGACTTACACCTGTCCCAACCCCCTGTGTCCAGAATGGCAGGGTCTGCCTCTGAAATGTCTCTGCCAGCGGCAGAGACAGGCCTGACAAGGGCAGATAATCCGTTTTGTCAATGGCATAGACTTCACACTGCTTGAAGGTCTGCTGTTGGGGGGTGGAGATAAAGCAGAGGACTGGGCTCTCATCCCCCTACAAACCCTCTACTCCATCCATCCATCCACCATCTCTGTATCCATCTATTTTCCACCCATCTGTGATGCCCACCTCCCCTTTTATAAAGTCACCCACAGATGCATCAATTCATTTATCTCTCCTTCCTCCCTCCCTCCATCCTAACATTTGTCCTCATCCATCTACCCACTCATCCATGCATCCATCCACCCACCCACCCACCTCCACATCCATCTTCTCACCCACCCATCCACACCCATCCACCTATCCATTCACCCACCCACCCATCCATCTGTTCATCCATCTACCCACTCACTAGTTATCATTCTGCCTTTCTCCTTCACTTCTTTCCATCAGTCTTCCACAGCCACTTATCCTATTAATCTCCCTGCCTACCCAACTGCCCAAGCATCTCTCTTCCCCGCTCCAGTCACCCATCAAAGTAGCCAACTATGTAGCAAATCAGTCAGTCAGCATTCCCCCTTCCTGCTTCCTTCTCCTAATCCATCCAGTCATCTAATCATCCAGAGCCTTCCCTGAACCTGTTGCTTGCTGCACCTAAGCCAAGTGTAGTAATCAATCCCCAGATGGATCAAGGGATGCAGAGGAGGAGATGACCTTCATCTCATCAAGCTCTCAGAACAACTAACTTGCCTGCTCTGTCTCTGAAACGACCCCAGGGCAGGGCCTCCCTTTCTGAGCCTCACTGGGCCTTGGCTTTTGCAGCTTCCTGTTGCTCAGCCTGCCTTAGCAGTTTTCCCTTGGCTCTTGCTGGCTCTGGGTGCAGACCCACTCTGGGGCTATCAACTTGCCACATTCGGTTTCTTCCCAAGACAAGCGACATGCAGTCCCCGCTCAGTCTTCTCACCCAATCCTGGGAGGTAGGGAGTTTTGTTTCTCTTTCACCTTTAAGTGCCTTCCCCAGAGTAATGAGCTGGGAGAACAGGGTAAGGTGTGGGGTGCAGAGGCACCTGATGCCCCGTACACAGGCTGCCTCCCAAGCCCCTGGGGAAGAGGGTTCTGCCAAGCCAGGCTGCTGGGCCACTGACCTGACCAGGCAGCTGTTAAGAGCCCTTCGCTTGCCATGTGATGAGACCAGGATAGGAGAGAGCTCAAGAGACCAGGTCTGGACCTAGAGGCCTGATTTCCCTGCCAGCTCTGCCAGTGCCCGGTTCTCTGATGGGGCAGGAAGGGGCTGATTTCAGAGGGGCCCCAGGGTGCGGGTGGGGAGATGAGGGCACAGAGGCCAGCCTGGGAACAGGCTTGGGAACCAGGCGTGAGGGTGGAGACAGGCTGAGAGGACTCTGGTCTGGCTTGCCCACCTCGTCACAGGGGGCGATGCGGCCCACCACGTCCTTCAGGTGACCGATGGTTGACTCCTCCTGGAAGTCCCGTGGAAATGTCTCTGTCCACTCGGCCAACAGCTGCAGCAGTTTGGGGCCAAACTTCCGGACCCGGGCCTGCAAGGCAAGCCAAGGGTCGTCTGCATTTGGTGAGGGATGCATGGGAGGTGGGTGGTCGCAGCGGCCACTGCCTCAGCCACGCACTGTGCGTGTGGCTGCCCCGGGGGCAGCAGCGACGGCCGGGGGAGGTGGGCCTCTCCTTCCTCTGTCCCAGGAGACAGACGGGGCGTGGGGGCTGACCACGGAGAGCGGAGGGGGACAGACACATGTTTGGAATGGGGGTCTTCTCTTACTCATAATTGCCAGTCATCCTATCTCCCTTTCTGTGGTGACCGCATCTCAGTTCGCCTGTGGGGGCCCCCTCTCCCCCGTTTCCAGCTGGCCCTATCCCAGGGCTTCAGGAACATCCCAGATAAGTGCCGGCCAGTCAGGGCATGGCATTGGCCCACAGAGGGGCATGCTGCCTAAGCTAAGCCAATGAGATCAGGATCTTTATTGGAATCCTCCTCCCATAGGATTGGGAAGGGCAGACCAGGACCCTGCATCCACAGAGGCCAGCTGTCACCAGGCAGAGAGAGTCTGGCCCAGAGGAAAACAAAGCAAGCGGTCTTAGGGAGAAAGACCACTTGATGTTTGAGCGCCTGGAGCCAGCAGTAGCTCGAGACTGCAGTTATGTGAGCCAGTGCAGTCCCTCGGCCTTAGGTCAGCTGGAATCAGGTTTCCGTCACTGGACAGTGGGACCCTCCTGACTCGTGTGTAGATAGACAGTCGCAGCCCGTGGGATACAGCGAGGGACAGAGGAAAGGATGGGGGGCACTGAGGGAAGGCTGAGCCATCAGCGGACCGGCAGAAGGAAGGATGGAGCAGAAGATGCGGGGGGCAGGCAGCGCAGCAGGCACTGCAGGACCACCCCCGGCCACAGATGGGGCTCGCCTCATGATCCTCTGGGGGCCCAGGTCTGGGCTGTTGAGACCCTGGAAGACAGCACTGGGGTTAAAGACTCTGACTCTGCCCTTCTGGCTCTGGGCTTCAGACAAGTCAGAACCCCCTGGCAGGTGAATAGGGGCAATCTCTGCCTATCCAAGATACAGATTCACAAGGGCATGTCAGGGGAGAGCCGCGCACTCAGAGGCCCGCTACTCAGCCCTGCCGCTCACCTTGTCCAGCACTGGCTTGTCCAGCTGCTGCTGCTCGATGCACAAGTGGCAGACCCGGGCCAGGAGCTCCTGGGGCTCGATGAAGAGGCGAGAGCTCAGCAGGAAGGTGAAGATGTAGGCTTTCTGGGGGGACACAGCAGAAAGGCAGCACATGTTCACAAGTCCCAGGAGCATGTGCCTGCCAGGGAGGATGTGCCTGCCAGCCCTGGCACCCCCAGGCCCAGCCAGCCCCAGCTCTGCCGTCTCCCCCTGGCATGGTGGAACAGAGCCCATTTTGCTACCCCTCCTCCCCACAGGGTGGATCACCCACCTCAGGGTAGTAGTCGGTGGTGGGCACCAGGTGCTGGATCAGGGTGTCCAGGGAGGCTGAGGACAGAGCTCCATCCAGGAGGGGCTGCCCAGCCTGCTCGCCGTCCGTGGGCTCGCTGGGGGGTGGGCCGAGGCTGCCCGGGGTGACCATGTCGGATGCGCTGAGTGTCCGGGGCATGCCCACCTGCAATGGCAAGGTGGCAGTTGAATCTGCTGGTCTGCCAGGATCCCTGGCTGGGCAGGCCCTGCCTCCCATAGGCACTTCTGTGCCCACTTGAGCCCAGTGATCACTTCTTGGGAGGTCTGCCAGGGATGGCAGCCCCCCAAGCCACTGCATCCCCCAGGAGCCATCTCTGTTTCATTATCAGTCCTAGCCGTTTAGGGATTGACTGCTTCCAGTGTCGAGTCTTACAGTGAAGGTTCTTTTTGACCAGGCTTAGACCATCAGCATATTTGCCGTGCTGTTGGCCACAAGAATGAATCAGAGGCGGACCTGATCCTAACGAGAGGGTTCAGATACAATCCCTATAACTTGTGTGCCGCTTGAAAGCTCTTTCCCCCAGGTCCCTGAGCTGATGCAGTGGCACTGTTGGGCCATCTTGTCCCTCAAGGAGCCAGGAAAGCACGTTCCTGAGTTCAGCGGCCACGGCCTGGATCCTGCTGTGCCTGAAGCTGCTCTGCGGACTGCTCCGTAACCTGGGCGTGTTTGAGCTTCTCAGGTGCAGCCTCCACAGGTTGGCCTTCCAGGCCCTTTGCGATGAGAGCCCAGTGACCTGTGCAGCTGTCTCCTAATGCAGGAAGGCTTTCCCGTCATCTTCAATCCTCCGTTCCCTCTGGACATGGCTGAAAGCTTCCCTGCAGCGACCCCGTCAAGGCTGGGCCTGACTTCTGGTGGACATCAGAAGCCTCTCCTTGTCAGCACTGCAGAGTGCTTGGGGTGCAGCCAGCACCTGGTGCAAAGTCTCCAGCCAGACCTCCTTCAGGTGGGGGCAGAACAGGCACGTCTTCTGATCCAGTACTAAGTCAAGGGCCCGGCCTGCAGCAGGGGCCCATCCATGAGAGTGCAGTGGACAGCGCTTCCTCTCTCAGGCTCTACATATATCCCTGTTGAGCAGTCTTCCTGAATGAAGCCTTTGGGGCAGATGTGGGAACAAGTCCTGGCCAAGCCAGTGACTGACTAACCATCCCCCATGTGACATTCAAGTTGCCCCCACAGTCTTAACTGTGGAGTCCTGCAGGCTCACTCCAGGGGCCTTCCAGGGATTCATCTCCCCATCACCCTGCTCGCCTTAGCCTGGATACCCCCACGGCAGACCTGGCCCCAGCCTGTTTCTGACTTCTGTCCTCTGGGTGACCTGGCCCTGAAGGCAGAGTCAGGAGGTCTTGGAGAGTCCAAGCTGAGGCTGGGTGCCAGAAGGAGCCCCACAGAGGGCTGTCCTGAGGGCACACAGTATGGGGGTGCAGGGGCTGGGGGTGTGGGAACCAGTGGCGACAGCAGCCTGGGCAGCCTCAGCTTGATTTCACCTTTCCAGCAAAGCTGTGGGTGTTCAGTTTTCAGCTGATGAAACTAAACATTTCACAAAACTGTCTCCTGTCCCTCAGTGGGGAAGCAGCTGCACATGTGGATACATGGGGACTGCCAGTGCTCAGTGGGGTATGCTGGTCAGCTCTGGGGTGGTGCTGCCTCTGCCCCTCACGCAAAGCCCGAAACTGGAGCCCAGTTCCACTAGATATTAATAGAACCCTTTTGAGGCCAGCAAGATTTGCTTTCTCCTGCCAGACACCTGGGATCTTCTCCCTGTAACCTGCTGCAAATTCCAATTAGAAACAACATCTCTGGCTCCTGGGTGGCCAGTCTACAAGACCCATTCTGCTGGTCCCACCCCTAGCACTGGTCGTTGGCATAAAAAGGCCTCCATAAATGGAACTCTGAAGAACCCATGGAAGAAATGTGTGCAGCTGGTTAGTGCAGTGAGTCCAGGGGACAGGAGAAGAGATGCTCTCTCAAGCATCCTTTCCTGAGTGGGCACGGGGTCTGGCCTGACCAAGGGGACAGAGGGAGAGGACACCCCTAGAAAGTGACCCTGAAAAGTGCCTTTGTGCCCTGAGAACAGGAAGAGAATCTCTCCTCTTCCATTTATGGAGAGGAACCTGTGAAGTAAGTACACAGAGCACTCAGCACAGTACCTGGCATGGAGAAGAAAGGACCACCAAGGTCAGTCCTCCCCATGGCACCCACCACCTGCAGGGGCCTAGAACACAATGTGAGTAATAATTCCAAATGCTAATGGAGATCTGTGCCGGAAAGCCTTGTCAACAGTACTCCTGTGCTTCGCCAGGCTGTCCAAGCTGGCTGTGGCCTAACGGCCCTCTATCCTGCTCATCCAGCTTTGTGGCTGGTGCTCCTGAAACCAGCTATCAGTAGCTGCTGGGGATTATCCTTGTGGCAGGTCACAACTTCAAATCAGAGTCACTTCTGCCTTTGCTTTCTTGTGTAGGAGACATTTACACGTTTACATATTTGAATTCCAATCTTTCTTCCTTCTCTTCCATTGTATCTTTTTCAAAAATTGTTAAGCATATAGTTTTTTTTTGCTTAATGTAAAATTTACCATTTAAACTATTTTTTTTTTGCTTTTTAAAATAATTTTCCTAAAATATAATTCACATACCATAGAGTTCACTCACTCATTGAACAGTTCAGTGTTTTTAATATATTCACGCAGTTGTCCAACCATCACCACAAGCTAATTTTAGAATACTTTTGCCACTCTCAGAAAAGAAACCCTCATCCCCTCAGCAGTTACTAGGTAATCAGCCACAAGCTGGTGGTCATCAAACAGCCACTAATCTACTTCCTTTTTCTCTACAATGTAGTAATCAAAAAACGCTCCAGGAAGTCTGGGTCCAGTGGTGTCACTGGTGTGCATGGGTGCTAAGTCGCTTCAGTCGTGTCTGACCCTTTGCAAACCCAACTGCAGTCCGCCAGACTCCCCCGTCCACGGGATTCTACAGGCAAGAATTCTGGAGTGGGTTGCCATGCCCCACTCCAGGGGGTCTTCCTGACTCAGGGATCAAACCCATGTCTCTTCTGTCTCCTGCTTTGGGAGGCGGGTCCTTTTTTTGTTCCCCAGTTAACTATTCTGAAGTGTACACTTCAGTGGCATTAACCATTTAGTTGTTCAATCATCACCACTATCCATTTCTAGGAAATTTCCCACTTCTCCAAATAAACCTCTGTGTCCATTAAGCAATAACTCCCCATTCTCCACTCCCTCCAGGCCTTGGTCATCACCATTCTACTTTCTTCTCTAAGAATTTGACTATTCTAGCTACCTGTATAAATGGATTCATATAGTATTTGTCTTTCTGGAAGGCAGCTATGCTCCCCACTATACCACCAAACTGCCCAGCAGTATTTGTCCTATTGGGACTGACTTATTTCACTCAGCAAGAGGTCTTAAAGGTTCATTCATGTTGTAGCATGTGTCAGAATTTCCTTTCTTTTTATGGCTGGATTATTTATAATGTATTCCACTGTATACTTGTACTATATTTTCTTTATCACCCTCACCCTCACTCTCACCGTAACCCTGACTCTCATCCATCAGTGGATATTTGGGTGGCTTCCCACTTTGTCACTCTGTTTTCCACAGCAGGTGTCCATTTTACATTCCTACCAGCAATGCAAAATAAAAGGGTTCCAATTACTCTGCCAAGTCGCTTCAGTCGTGTCCAACTCTGTGTGACCCCATAGACAGCAGCCCACCAGGATCTGCCATCCCTGGGATTCTCTAGGCAAGAACACTGGAGTGGGTTGCCATTTCCTTCTCCAATGCATGAAAGTGAAATGGGAAAGTGAAGTCGCTCAGTCGTGTCCAACTCCTAGCGACCCCATGGACTGCAGTCTACCAGGCTCCTCTGTCCATGGGATTTTCTAGGCAAGAGTACTGGAGTGGGTTGCCATTGCCTTCTCCTCCAATTTCTCTACACCCATGCTAATATCAATTTTCTTTATTTTTGATGGTAGCCACCATTAGGGTATGAAATGCCATCTTACCATGGTTTTGATGTTTATTTCCCTAATGATCAATGATGCTGAACACCTTTTCATGTGCCTATTGGCCATTCATATACATCTTCCTCGGAGAAATGTCCAAATTCTCGGCTGATCTTTGTATGAAGCTTTTTGTTGTTGTTGTTCACTTTGAAGAGTTCTTTATATATTTCGGATATTAATACCTCATTAGTTTTGTGTTTTACAAATATTTTCTTCTATTATGTGGGTTGCCTTTTTACTCTGGCGACAGTGTTCTTTGATGCACCACAGTTTTTCATTTGGATGAAGTCCAGTTCATCTATTTTTCTCTTTTGTTGCCTGTGCCTTTGATGTCATATATAGGAAATGATTGCCAAATGCAAGGTCAAGAAGTTTTTCCCGAGTGTTCTCTTCTAAGAGTTCTATAGTTTCAGCTCTTATGTTTAGGTCTTTTATTCATTTTGCATTAATTTTTGTACATGGTGTTGGAAAAGGGTCCAACTTTATTGTTTGACATTAATTGATTACTGTATTAATTGATTAATGTATTACATTAATTGATTTTAATATGTTGAGTCATCTTTTAATTCTAAGAATAAATCCCATTGGGTCCTTCTAATATGTTGCTGAATTCAATTTGCTAGTATGTTGTAGAGGATTTTTGCATCAATGTTCATGAGAAGTATTGGTCTAAAGTTTTCTTTTTTTGCAGTGTCTTTGTCTCTCTTTCACATCAGAAAGATGCTGCTCTCATAGAATGAGAAAGTGTACTCTCCTCTTTTTAAGAAAAGTTTGAGGAGGATTGGTGTTAATTCTTCTTTAAATGTTTGGTAGAAATCATCAGTGAAGCCATCAGCTCCAGGGCTTTTCTTTGCCAGAAGGATTTTGATTACTGATTCAATCTCCTTATTAATTATTGGTTATTTAGATTTTCTTTGTGATTCAATCTTGGTAGGTTTTGTGTTTCTAGGAATTTGTACATTTCATTGAGTTTATCCAATTTGTTTTCATACAATTGTTTACAGTACTTCCTAACACACCTTTTTTATTTCTGTGGAATTGAAAGTAATGTCCCCACTTTCACTTCTAACTAATAATTGAGTAATTTCCTTTTTTATTGTCAATCTAGTTAAATGCTT